ACATAAATAAAACTAAAAGAGGGATAAAGATACACATTTCCAAGACCAAACAAACGTAACCACCACAGGCAAGGAGAAAAGCAGCAAGAACTTCAGTTTCTTTTTGCTTTTATTTTTTAACTGAATTGGCCAAATTTGGAAGAAATGTTTTAATATTATAACTTCAATATTTTAAAAAGTTTTTCATTATTTTATGAAATTGTATATGTATTATTTTTTAAAGCTTTTATTTTTCCCAAAAAGAAAAGACTTCTGGGGGGAAAAGATTGTGCCAAATATTTGCCCACAAAATATGCACAGGATATGCACATAGTCTTTAGATTAATGTAATTTAAAGGATAAAAAATACTGCTTTAATTAAACTCCAAACTATCACGAGATGTTTACAACACTAACATTTCATCTTTCAAAGGTAACATACTACTTACTTTCAGGAGATAAAAGAAATATTCTTAAGAAATGCAATGCTTTTATGAAACATTTTAAAAGAAAATGAAGGCTCCATCTACAAAAAGGAAGGGCCAATTTCCCAGTAAACACCAGGAGAAAGAAAACAAGTGGCCACAGGCCAAAGTAAAATACCTTTTCCTCAAACAGCAGTTTCCCTTTAATCACAAGCATCAAATTACACAATAATGCTTAGTTATATCCCCACAATCCCCTCCTACATAACCCGCCTCCCTACACTGAGCCGGTCCATTGGAGGTCTGGCCAGTATTCGGCCTGCAGTCTGTAAGCACCACGTGGTCTCCATAAGAACCCTACTCTGGGCTGACTTACGCCTCCAACTCCCAACCTTGTATGTTGAAGTCCTAACCTCCAGTACCTCAGAATATGAGTGTATTTAGGGGTAGAGTCTTTAAAGAGGTATCTAAGGTTAAAAGAGGTCATTGGGGTGGTCCCCAACCTAGTGACTGGTGTCCTCATAAAAGATTAGGACAGGGATATGCACAGATGGAAGGCCATGTGAAGACAGAAGGACACATGGCCACCTACAAGATGCCATCTACAAGTCGTCAGCAAGCAATCCTATGTTGATGTCTAATTTTCTTTGAATCCCTATAACTTTTACTACATGCAAAATCTTTTTATTCTTTCCTCTGTGTCATTTTTGCAGCTAAGACTGGGAGCTTCTAGAGCAGTATATTGATTTTGTTTTCTCCCCAGTGCCCAGCCCAACAGAACGTGCCTCCTAATTCATCTATCACTATCTACTAAATGAGTAACTACCTCAGATCTCTGAAAACGCTTCGCAGGAAGGCTGTGGATTACTGAACAACACTGGCCTCCTTCATCTAACGGTAGTTCCTTATCTCATTTTCATTTGCCCATATGGAACCCCACTATAATTATTTAATCTCAGTATATCAGCTTTCCCTACTAAATGTAACTTCCCAACTGTATTTATATCGATGTTGTCCTATGAATGACACTAATTTACAATACAAAAATAATACCTTTCTTATTATAAATACAGAGTTAATATTGTATATAATGATGTAACTACATCAAACAAATTCCTAGTTCAGGCCAAATGTGTTTTTAAAGCAGATACAACTCTTTGGGAAATATAATGATAATACAAGATTCTGTCATGCGCATGGACTATCAAGCAGTCCTGAATTCTACAGGAAGTCGTCTGCTTCTTTACTTTACAGTACAATATCTTTACTGGCAGATGAGTTGTTAGTACAGTATACATGGAGACATTTCCGGCCCACTATATCAACTTGGCCTCAAGATATTTTATGAAAGCCAGAGTACTTTGTCTATGTTACACATACAAAATGGAGCCAACCTGTATAACTCATCACAAAAAAATCAAGTCTATGATGTCAGACTTAGGATGTAATCTGCAGAACAATTCTGAAAGAATAAACTCAGGCAGTTATCTTCCAGGTAAATTCAGTTACATGCCAGCTTCTAAGTCCCTCATCTTAACTCTAGACAATGGGTTCACTTCTTTATTTGTAAGCAAAGCCTTTCCACCCAGCAGCTAAAGGCCTGCATCAATACAAAATTACATATACTTCAAGGATTTCTATGAACCTGTTCTGAGCACCCCTAACCTGCAGAGATACAATGAACTATGGAAACAGCTGCCTCTAGTCCATCACAATATATGTGCATTTAAAAGGTATCTAATTGTGATGACATCTTTAAGGGCCAAACAGAGCTATGTCTACATGATAGCAATTTCAAGCAAAATAAAAACTGACATCTATCTAGTCAGGCTTAGAACATAAAAGGAAGTGTGTTAAAGGGAGACAGAGGGGGAGCCAAGGAGTGATACACATGGGCCTGATCTATTAGTGATATGGTGAGATAAACTCCATCAGTTTTTTGTTTGTTTTAGCAAATGAGGTGGAAAAGAGGCATGGGCAAGAGTGAAGGGGACTCCCCAAACTAGCTTTGTCTAAGTGACAGCATGCCTGTGGAAAGGAACCCATCACAGGGCCTAACCCCTCCCTCTCTTTATCCAAATAGTCATCTTCAAACCTGCTCAGATAACAGAAATGCTCAAAAGTCACTGGAACTCGCTGTAGAACACCTTGAAATATGGCTATGTTAAATTAAAAATAATAGACATATTTCTACCTGTCAGAATCTCTAGTCTACATTCTAAGAGAGAAAGATACCAAAAATCTAAAAAAAAAAAAAAAAAATGACAGCGACATTTGGAAATGAGAAAATCCAACACACTTATTTGTCTCTCCCCTGGGGGGAAGTACGCCAGTCATGGGGGCACACCGGAAACAGGGCCTGAAAGGCAATGAAATGAAACAATGCACCCACGACAAAAGGGAGTACTTAAGCAATACCTTTAAAGGCTGGCTTTGGCTGGCAACTTTTTCTGTTCAAAGTAACACAGTAAACATTTCAGACTTCAAAGGCTATACATCTCTCTCTCAACCATGCAACTACTCAACTCTGCCCCTCGCTGTGCAAGCAAGCAGCCATGCACGGGTAAGAATGAGACACAGATAACGTGTGCTACAACACAACTTTAATATGGACACTGACATTTGATTTTGGCGTAATTTTCACGTGTAAAATACTCTTTTCTTTCAACAATTTAATAATGTACAGGCCACTCCTAGCTCCTAAACCTCAGTGAAACACACCAGTGCAGTAGACAGATTTGGCCTATGGCCCTTAGATTTACAGACTTCTGTTTCAAAAGACCCCAAGGTGAACTCTGAGCAGAGACAGAGCCCAAACTAGATAGACCCTCCCATTTGTAAACTAGTCCATTAACAGCATGCCTGGGTAACCCAGGCAAGATTATCCCCATTGCCCTCTAGGTCTTCACTCTTCCCTCTGGCAAGGCAGAGCTTCCCTCCAGAGCTCTGCACTGTATTAAAAGAACTTCAAGTTTTGTTGGATTTTAAAATGCAACTGTAGTCATGGCTAGTGTGGCTCAGTGGATTGAGCCCTGGCCTATGAACCAAAGGGTCGCTGGTTTGATTCCCATTCAGGGCACATGCCTTGTCAGCAGGCCGGGTCCCCTGTAGGGGGTGCTGGATAGGCAACTACACAGTTTCTCTCCCTCTCTTTCTCCCTCCCTTCCCCTTTGTAAAAGTAAACAAATAAAATCTTAAACAAGTGAAAAAATAAATGCAACTATATACTTAAATTCTACCATTCGATAAACACACACATCACAAATGTAGACGATTCGACCCTAACAAAAAGTTCATTACAGACATCTACGACAAAGTTCTACAGGTAAGAACTCCCAAGCCCCAAACAATCACCTTGTTAGTTTTCCCGATCAGGTGTTATTTATTCTGTAAAATGCAACCTAAATGAGGAATGCCTGCGGAAATACAAAAGGGATGGCTACACTACAGCTGTCCACCAAAGCTGGATGACAGACCACTTTTCAGATTCTTCCCCTCTCAACATCAAAAGAAAATGGAGGGATTTCCTTTTTGGCTGGGGAAGTCATGGTCATCTAACCTTCTGATGATACCTACGAAACGCTAGTCGCCACCCGCACCCGCCCCACCAAGGCACACAACGGCCCTGCCCGAGTCCTTCCCAGAGTGACTTCAGCAGCCCCACCCACACAGATGGATGGAGATGCCCCGCGACGCCCACCTCCCCCCAGCCACTGTGCAGCGCAGCCACCTCCCGCCGTCCCCTGGCCCCTCCTCTTCTCCGCAGCCCCAGCTTCAATTTCTAAGTGATCTATCTGCAGGAAAGAAGAGCCCGACTTCCGTGCCTCTGCAAAGAACGCAAGCCAAGAATTTAACCATCACCACCGCCAACACACACACAGCTCCCCTAGACACAAAGCGTTTCCGAACAGCGATTCCCCAGGAACATCCGGCATCTCGGGGCAGCGAAATCGCACACAAAAGCAGCCCATCGGCGCCGGGGCGGGGGGAGAAAGCGGGAGGCCCAGGCAAAACCGGGTACCAACAGGAGCAGCAGATAAAAACGCACGGGCGCGGGGGGGGGGGCGGGTACCAATTAGCGGCGCCCGGGAAGAGGGGGTACACCAGTGCGGGGACGTTTCTCCCCACGCCCTCCCCACCCCGCGGGGCCAGGCACCGCGTAGCAGTGGAGGGGCATCCGGCCTGGGGCGCGTCCGCGGCAGCGGAGAGCAACAGGCTCCCGAGCCTGCGAGCACCCAGCCCACGCGCCAGGCCCGGCCCCGTTCAGGGCACGACGCCCCTCCAGACGCAGGCAAGGAAAACTTTCGAGCCACTCCAAGTAAGCAGACACAAGGGGCTGGGGGAGGGGAGGATGGAAACGTCTCGGAACATCGTTCGCGGGCCCTGCGGGGAGCAGACCAAAGAAACTTCCAGACCGCATCCTTTAAAAAGCCTGCGGAGCCGCGGCGGCTCCCCGGGCCCCGCGGGGTGGGGCCAGCGCGCCCGCCCGCCGCCCGCCCGCGCGCCGAGCCCGGAGCACCCGCGCACCCCGGCCGCCGGCGCGCGAGTGAGGCGCGGGAGCGCGCCCGGCCTCCGGCCCGTCCCCGCGCTGCTTACCCGGCCCGTGGCAGCTGCCCCCGCGCGGGGACGAACGGGGGCAGAGGCTGCGGAGCCGGGGTCTCCGGGGACTCCGAGTGCCTGGCCTCGCCCACGTTCTCTCTCTTCTCGAGTAACGGCCCGTCGAGGAGCTTCGGAATAAACGCGCAGACACACTCACGCGCAACCGAGAAACTTAATCCCCCGTGGCCGGACGCCAACCTCGCGCTCCGCCGCGCCCCCTCCCCACCGCGCGCGCCGCACTTGCGCCAACAGAGGCTGCGGCGGCGGCGGCGGCGGCGGGGCGCGAGCTGCCCGAGCTGCGTGACGCCTGCGGCCGGCGGGGCGGGCGCGCCTCCGCCAATCAGGGGGCGCTGCCCTGCCCGCGGTCCGGGGCTTGGGACTGGCTCCGGGGCGCCGGTCCTGGGTGGTGGGCCGCGGGCTCGGTGGGACAATCGGGGGAAATGCAGAGCGGCCCGTTAAATAAAGGAATCACTATTTTGGACACATATGCCCCATGCAATGTTTGTGACATAGTTATACTAAAAAATAGTTTTCGTCCTGTCTCTGAAATTTGAATTTAATTGGGCGTCCTAAATTTTAAGTAGCTAAATCGATTGATCCTTGGGAACTGGCGGCCTCTATTTCTAGTTGTAGGGTCTTAAACATTTTTTTAGTATGTGGACTGCCCTGTGGATGCCCCACGGGAAACTTAACTCAAGCGGTGTGGAATGGTGATGAGAAGCACTTAAACGAGGAGGCAGGCATAGGGGTGGGGCGAGGGAGTGGAGCTAACGATCTTACTTTCTAAGTTACTTTTAACAAAATCACTGTTCGTTCTTAGACATATGATCCAGTTAAAAGATAAAACAAACGTGAAGGAAGGGTTCAGAATTGCATGGTGCTGGGAAAAATATTTATTTCTATTTCGTGCCATTTAAGATTGTCTTTCCTTAAAGGGGGGGGATAAATGTTAATGGAAGAAGACTTGATTTGGGGTGATTATTATAGCACTGTGCACCTGAATCCTATATAATTTTATTAATCAATATCAACCCAGTAAGTTCAAATAAATAATAAACAGGCATTAAAAGGATTGTCTTTCTTATACCCTCAATTCCTGAATTCCAGTAATCTTTTCTGTGGAAGAAAATTGCTCCTTTTCTCAATACATAAACCTGATATCAGAGTATACATCAAAGAATACGCAGAAGCCCAATTTAAAACATTTAAAAGAATTTATTTTAATATTCTGAATAAAAATTCTATTTTGTCAGACATGTTTTTTTTGTTTTGTCTGTTAAAAACTACTTGTATTTCTCCGATATTAACCAAATAGTTGAAAGGAAACAGTTTAAAACATATACAAGACTTTAGAGGGAAACTGATTTGAGCTGCTTTTTAAGTTAAAAACTTTAATTACATTTTTCCCATTACCATTTGACGCCCTTATATCTCCCCCCCCCCCCATTGCAATCACTGGATATTGTCAGAAAGCTGCAAAAGATATAGTTTGCCTGTGAATGATGGGGGATTCAGCAAAGTGAACCCAGTGCCCGGAGTGGACACTGTGCCATCAACCACAAGGCCCCTTGTGCTTTCACAAACAGGAGCAGTGCAGATTTGCCCACTGGGGAAATGTAAACAGTGCCTAGGTTGCCTCAGAGCCTATGGATATTCACCTCCTCTGGGTCATTTGCAAATGAAAGTGAAGTTAGGATGAAAGGAAGTTAGGAAAACCCATTCCCTTGAATTTTCAACAGGTCGCGAAAATTTCTATCAGCATTCTCAAGTACCCGGTTCTTAAAAACATTTGCTCCACATGACTTTTGTGGTTTTGCCACAGTTATCTCAAAGCATCCCATTTGGAGAATTCCAACGATTCCTCCTCTTTGAATAGCAAAGCACTTAAAAATCAAGTTATCTTGAGCTAGGGAGAGAACCTTTCTCCCCAGTTTATTTTTCTCCTGCTACCACCTTTCCTCCCCTCTCCTTCACAGCTCAAATCCTTGAAATCAACCAAATGCATCTGGCTTTCTACCCAAATCACTGCACTGGAAGGGCTCTTACTAGGGACACTGATGAACAGCCACGACTGAAATCCAATGCATGTGTTTCTCTGTTCACACTTGTCCTCTCAGAAGCACTTGTAATGGTTAGTTGAGCATTCTCTTCAGAAGCACAAACCCCACCAATTCCACACAATCACACTTTCAGTTTTGCTCCTCCCTTTTACTTAGGGGAAGATGTGTGGGACCTGAAGCTTATACAATTTGGGTGCCTGCTTTAAGAAAAAAAAAAGATATCTTTTGAAAATTTTACAAAAATATATGATCATGCAAACCTGTGTCTAGGGCTCCTCCCAGGTAAGAAGAGGTCGGCCCAGAATCTTAAGCTTTGTTAGTTTCAAAGTAGATGTCACTTCTGTCATCCAGTCACTCACACTTCAATCTTTACCAGCTTTCCTCCTCTTCCTAACCTTTATGTGCTGGGATTCCTTAAGGGAGAGACACTCTTTTCTAAGTTCATGTTCACCTGTAGCTTATCATCTATTGATCAAAGATTTCAAAATTGTTATCTTCAATCCAGACTTCACCGTATAGCTGAGTGTTTATTCAACGTCCCTGTGTGCCTATCTCAAACCTACATTATTCCACCTGGAACCATGGTGTTTCTTCTACTCGGGTTTGGTCATCTATCCCAGTTCAGTGACTCAGTGAACGGCACTACCGTGACATCACTTCACAACTCGTACTGATAAGGTAAACCCATGTGACGCACTCTCATTGTATCCTATACTTTTGCTTCACAGTATTCATCCTACTTTGTAATTGTATATTTAGTTTTGTAATTACTTACGCAATGTCTCCTTTCCCCCTCAGACCATCGACTCCATGCAAACAGGTACCAAGTCACACTTTCATCCTCAACCCTAGCAAAATGCTTTGCACCCAATTGTTTGTTCAAATAATGTCTGCTTAAAAGATAGATCTTGGCACTTCCAATTTAATCCATCAAGATACAGAGAACAATTCTAGTTGACTCCCAAGTACACGGTATTTGCTCTGCTCTAACAACTGGTCACCTAGAGGTGGACAGCAGGCAGTCCCTCATGGCTACACGTTACTGAGAGCTCCGGTGTCAGCACTGTATGAACAGAATCCTTTCCCCAGGACTAAGTGACTCTTGGGGAATGCTAATTGTGGGGCAGTGGACTATTTCCATGCATTTACCAGCCATGAGTCTTACTACTAATGCTTCTCATAAGTGCAAACCAGATGGCATGTGTGCATCTCCCTCTGCCTGATTTATAATGATGTGCAGTTTTAATTTATTACAGTTTGCAGAGATTTTTCTATTCTATCTGCTGGTTCCAACTGGCCTCTAATTTCTCAAATGAAAGAAAGGAGTTTGGTTTTTTTCAGTTCAATATTATAAAAAACATTTTATACGATCATTAACTTTTTTCCTCCATCAAAAATATTTCAGATTTTAAAAAAGGTGAAGAAGAAAAAGGAAAATATTAGGATGAGGAATATATGTGTGTCTAGGAGAAAACTATTAGGAGGGAATGGCTAAGAAAGAACCTCAGGCATGATAAAAATGTAAAATTATATCTCATTTGAGAACATGTAGAGGTATCAGTCTCTATTCATACAACGAACTGTTTATAAAAGAATAAAAACACTGAAACCTACGTTGTGTGTGATTGGGTCTCATCTCTCCAAGTGAGAAAGAAAAGGCGCCAGGAGGTCATGACCATCTGACCTTAAATTCCTTTCCTTTTCAACCCACAGAATTCTAGTACAGTGAGGAAATCATGGGAGAACGCACCAGGACCAGGTTATTTTAGGGGTGGAACACACCCAAACACTGCTCCAAAAACTTTGACTCCAGTTAGTGCAAGCTGGCTAGATTGCCATTCTGAAGTCTCTCTCCTCCATGCTATGGGGGCATAAGTCTGTTTTCCAAAGTCAAGAAAAATCAGACATAATGCTAAGTGGAAAGAGCTTGCTCCAGTTACACAGTATCTTTTTGGTAATATCCATACTTGTGATGGCAAAAAATAATAGAGATAAGAAACTGAGTTTTGAGACCACCACTGTGTCCCTGGATTACATATTACCTGAAGTCCACCCCATCTCTTATATTTCCATTTATCTGAACCAATAAACCTCCTTTACTTCTTAAAGTAGGTTGAATTGGGTTTTCTTTTATATGTAACTAAAATAATTCAGACTCATGTTATATACATATGAGGCCATCCACAGTGAGCTAGACAGGTGCTTTTAAGTTTCAAAGAACACGTGAGATTACTTCAGTGGAGTTTGTTAAAGAACAATTAGGACTATAATGAAGACAGAGTTTCCACAGGTAAAACACACTGGAAAATGTGACATGTTTCTGGTTATATCATAAGCACACAGAGAGAAATGGAAGGTCATTTCAGAGGATGCACCTTCAGAGACCGGGTTTATTCAGAATCTTCGCAATTCTACCGTAATTATGACTCAGTGTACCTGTCCCTATTTATCTTGCTTTCCTTTTGCTTTTAACAATATTTGTTTAAATTGGTTCCTAGAAAGTCTGGTGATTCTTCATGTTTTGTAATATTTAATAATTAGGCAATAAACAGCTTTAGACTCTGTTCACACCAGATGGTTTGTGGACTCAGGTTCTTTACTTGTGAGGGTGAGTATTACTCAGGAGCCTCTAAAATTCAGGATAAGGAAGTCTTTGCTCAGTTCTGTTTGATCTGTTTAGAAAGGACATAGCTGGGTGTGTGTCTGAGAAATAGGCACCTGTCTTCGAGGAGTTCTGTGTGGAAGTGCTGTGTGTGTGTGTATTTGTGTCAATGCATGTATGTGATGTGGTCCTGATGGCAGTGTTGATTGTTCTAATTCTTGGGTTTTGCACCTGACATTTTATTTCCACTCTCCATTGTACCTGGTATTTCAGTGGTCTCAGCTTCTTTAATAGGAAAATCCCTTCCCTTCAGCTATAGTAGTCTAGGACCTAGGACAGTGCTTCTCAAACTGAGAAGGGTCAGGTATTTTTTTGTTGTTGTTGTTTTTGATTTCCAATGTATCACTGACCAATGAACTTGAAATGAATTACTAGAAAGATGAATACATATTTGGATGTTGTATCAATGATAACTGGCTGTAAAGATCTTTAAGAAAATGTTTATTTTTCTGTGCACCAGGCTATGGAAGACACATTGGGGAGAAATTCTCCAGGACCTTGTTCTCAAATATGGTCCATAAATCAGACATATGTGGATTGTCTGGGAGGTT